TCAGTACAGGTGCTTAACGTTTGTGAGAGATCCAGGGGCAAACTAAGTTTCAGTATAACTTCCTGCACTGCAGGTTAAACTGCTAGAGATTCTGTTGCATGTAAACCAGCAAAGAAGAGGAGAGAAATAAGAGTCAAATCCAGAAAATATATAGAACTCCATATGCTATTTCAGCTTCTAATACCCAGTATCAGTTTCTAGTTGAAGAGATTAAAAATACAAAAATGGAAGGATTCGAGAATATAGTGAGAATGCAGCCAAGAGGAAGAGGACCTGATATATGGAGAACTTTTCCAAACAGCTAATAATTTTCTTAAAGAAATAGAGTTTAGTTCCCAGAGAGATTTCTGCAAACACTTTATAAACAAGACTGGATATTTTGTCAAATATTTGGGTTTCATTTTTGAAAATTTAAAGAATATCCTAAAATGTGGGCCTAATCAGGATGCTAAAGATGAATTGATGTATGATACTCTTCACATGTGTTTATAGCAGATACAAGATTATTAATAACAAACATGTACCTCTTATGTTAATTCTTAAGAAACAATTTTGAAGAATATTATGCTAGAATCACTGCTATATTAAAAATTCTAAACTTGGGAAACATTTTAAATTTGAATAGATTAGCACCTTGGTAAAGGACTAGATGTTGACAGATGAAGGGAATGTGAAGATACTTGTTGAGGTGGAAAAAAAAACTGGGATTATAATATCTAAAGGCTTGCTTCCGAGCAAGTACAAAAGTGCACCCAGTAGTTTCATTATGCTAATGTTAGCAGTTGCTGAATTATGGCAGATGCACCTGAAATTGGCAAAATGGAAACTCTAATGACATTTTTCACAAAATTCAATATTTTTATTTTACTATAAGTTAATGTTACCTTTTTGGCAAAAAAATCGCATGATTCAACCAGACTGGCTTATGTGTCTCCATATCTTAGAAATGGCAGTCACAAGGTTTTCCTAACTTATGCTTCTATCTTAGTCCATTTGGGCTGCTATGACAAAATCCTGTAAACTGGATGGCTTATTAACAGTAGGAATGTATTTCACACAGTTCTGGAGGCTGGGAAGTCCAAGATCCAGACACTGACAAATTCAGTGTTTCATGAAGGCTCAATTCCTGGTTCATAGGCAGTCATCTGTTCACTCAAACCTCACATGGCAAAAGGGGTGAGTGGTCTTTCTGTGATCTCTTTTATAAAGCGACTAATTCCAATCATGAGGACTCCACCCTCATGGTTCAATAAATTCCCAGAGGCTTCTTATCCTAACACCATCCCTTTGTGGTCTCGGATTTCAACGTACAAATTTTAGGGGAACACAAGATTTACCATAGTAAACCTCCTACTTCAGTGTTAATAAATCCTATTTAATTTCCATGGTAGAAGTTCTGAGAGATTTTGACCAACATATTCCATATCAAAAGCAAATTATTTGGGAAGGTAAAGTAAAAGTATCATCACTATTGACCATACAGAAAGCAAATGAAAAATAAACCAATTTGTGAAGATAAAAGAGTGAATTTAGGAGATGCCATGAGGAACACAAGGAAGGACTTCTGTGGGATACTCACAGCTCTCTATATCTCTCTGTATTTCCACCCGAGTTTCACTGGAAGACTTAGTTTATATTCCAAATCCAACTAAATATTTGCATGCATTCTCACAAGTGTATAGAATGCTTCAACCTAGTTCACAAGTATCTGTTACACTCGCAGGTGAACAAATGAGTCTGTATTAGTCATATTCATATTATAGAGTAGAGTGGACTCAAAGAAGAGTCTTTACCCTCATCTGGGGACCCAATAATGGCATTTATTCAAGGTATCTGGTAATTGCATTTATTCTAATATTTTCCAACTGAAGAAAAAAATTGAAATGATAATTGAGAAAGCATTCAAAGAAGCCTTGTGCATTTTCATATTGGGGCCAAAGTAAGACTTAAGAGAATTTAATCTGTGTTATTATGGGCATGGCAAATATATTATTTTGAGTATTGTTGGAATGAAGCTGAGAAGGGCACCCTGGAGTAAATTTGTATTAAACTTGTTTCAAATCTTTTTAAAATAACAAAAATAATCAAGACCTGTTTTGTTTTACATTTTAAGTATTATTTGAGGTTCACCTTAGATAATTAGCAAATACTCTTGAGGGAATTTTTAAAGTATTATACTAGTTTATAATAGGAAAGGTATGCACATGATATAGAAGGTGTATTTTAAAACTATAGAAGAACATACAATGAAAAGTAATTTTTCCTCTAACCCCTGTCCTCTGACCACCCATTTACCCTCCAAAAGATAAGGACTGTTATTGTTTTTGGTTACCCTTGTGGAAATGTTCTGTCCTTACATTAGTGTATAATAGCCCTTTTTTGAACAAATGGTAATATAGTGCCTCCTGGTCAGATACCTTGCATGTCATTTCACATAATGTCTTAGAGATAGCTCCATAGGTGTATATAGGGAACTGCTTCATTCTTTTCAGTGGTTGCTGTGGTTTCTGTTTCTTTGAATGGATGTATCATAATTTATATAACCAGTCCCTCATTTGTGAACATTTAGTACTATAAATATCCTTATGTATATTTATTGTTTTGTACCTGTGCAATATATCAGTAGGATAAATTCTTACAGATGAAATTGCTGAGTCAGAGGTTGTTCCTTTTCATTTTGATAAGATTTTGCCAAATTGCTATCCATAAAGGTTACTATCCATAGAGCTGTATTGCCTACAAAGAATTATGAGAGTAAAAATGATAATTATCAGAAAAACTATAGTAATTATCAGAAAAACCAATATTAATTATTATGTGACTACAAATGACCTGTAGACCCCAGTCATAGTAATATGCAAGTTGATTATTTAATGTTGATGACCTGGTATTTGCTACCTACTATACTTTGAAGTAAATGAGCTTACCACTTCAAAAACATAGAGGTCCTATTTTTAACACTTAATTTAAATAACCTAATACCATTAATAGCTAACATTACCCAGGAGGCTGAGGCAGGAGGATCACTTGAGCCCAGCAGTTCACGACCAGCCTGGGCATCATAGCAAGACTCTGTCTCTAAAGAAATTAATCTTTTTGGCCAGTCACAGTGTCTCATGCCTGTAATCCCAGAACTTTGGGAAGCCTAGGCAGGCGGATCACAAAGTCAGGAGATTGAGACCATCCTGGCCAACGTGGTGAAATCCCGTCTCTACTAAAAGTACAAAATTAGCTGGGTGTGGTGGCACATGTCTGTAATCCCAGCTACTTGGGAGGCTGAGGCACGAGAATCACTTGAACCCAGGAGGTGGAGGTTGCAGTGAGCTGAGATTGCGCCATTGGACTCCAGCACGCCATTTCACTCCAGCCTGGCGACAGAGCAAGACTCCGTTTTTAACATGGAGGGAAAATTAAAATTAATCTTTTTATTATTATTATTAGTTACATGTGGTGGCACGTGCATTTAGTCTCAGCTACTTGGGAAGCTGAGGCCAGAGGATCACTTGAGCCCAGGAGTTTGAGGCTTCAGGGAGCTGTGATCTCACCACTGCACTCCAGCCTAAGTGACAAAATGAAACATCATCTCTTTATAAAAAATAAAACAATTTCCTAGCATGTGTCAGGCGTTGTTCTAAGTGGTTTATGTATTTCAACTTAATTTTCACAAAGTCCTACTAGCATTTATAATTGTTTTCCCAATTTACAGGTGAGAAAACCAAGGCCTGAGATATTATGTATCTTGGCAGAGCCTAGTACCTTATAGGGCTAGACTCTAGCCCTATAAGTTATTTTGAAAAATCATGCTAAACACATGTATACACAAATTATGCATATACATATGTATACATATATATACACAAATAAATTGTACTTTAGGTTCTGGGGTACATGTGTAGAACATACAGGATGGTTGCATAGGTACATACATGGCAGTGTGGTTTGCTGCCTCCATCCCCTCATCACCTATATCTGGCATTTCTCCCCATGTTATTCCTCCCCAACATCCCAAACCCTGGCTGTCCCTCCCCTAGTTCCCCCCACCACAGACCCTAGTGTGTGATGCTCCCCTTCCTGTGTCCATGTGTTCTTATTGTTCAACACCCGCCTATGAGTGAGAACATGCGGTGTTTGATTTTCTGTTCATGTGTCAGTTTGCTGAGAATGATGGTTTCCAGATTCATCCATGTCCCTACAAAGGATACGAACTCATCGCTTTTTAATGGCTGCATAGTATTCCATGGTGTATATGTACCACATTTTCCTTGTCCAGTCTATCATTGATGGGCATTTGGGTTGGTTCCAGGTCTTTGCTATTTTAAACAGTGCCACAATTAACATACATGCACTTAAGTTGGTATTCACACTCTCATTTCGAATAATCCTTCTCTTTGTTGTATTTTTTTGTGCTTGCAAACCTGCCTTTTACAGATGAGGCGAATTAAAACAAAGTTGTTGGTTTGTTTTGTTTTGTCCTGAGATACCTAGAAAATTAGAAACCAAGTTGAAATGGTGTTTTATGACAATCCCAGGTATGATAAATAAATGTATAGCAATTTTACATTTTTCATTTTAAGTTGATGACCCTCAAGTTGTTTCAGAAAGGTGTCCAAGAAGCTCCTAAGAAACATTTATAATAATGTTAAAGTGTTTTTTTTAGGAAAAAACAGTAACTTCCTGTGGTTCTTTCAGTAAGCTCTTATGACACTTTTTATCTGCAGGCAAGTGGCTGTATTCTCCTGTGTCTTGACATGCAGGCTTAGGTGAAATATTGTGGGCATAAAAATTGCATTTGGTAGGTCTGCGAGGAAGGGGTCATGTAAAAGTCATCTTTGATTTGTTAATGGAATTTTTTTTTTTTAGATGTAGTATATGGCAATAGTGATGTGCATCCTAAGGGAAAAAAATGGTCTCTTTTATAAAGGTTTATTTTCATATTTATAAACTGTAGTTCTGTTGTGTGTTTTTGATTTAGTAACAATTTATGTGTTTTTCTGTCACAGAGCACTGCAGCCTGTGGTGTTGAGGCTCACGGCAATGCCATCCAGCCCTGCCACATCAGAGAGGCCATTCGACGCTACAGCCACAAGATTGGCCCACTTTCCCCATTCACAGTACGTAATAACAGAGTTATAAAAAGTTATATTTATAATATGAAAGAATTTTGATTTTCAAGTGGTCAAATGAAGAAGCAATGGAATTGTTGAAAGCAATTTGTGGTGACTGTAATTTTGTTGTATAAAAGTGGCATAATTCTCTTGGGAAGTAAAAGTCATTTTCATCTCTTTGGAAGGACACTTTTTTCTCTACAAAATATTTTTTTCTTTCAATTACAAATTAAGTTTTTTTGTTGTTGTTGAGGCTTATAGTTTTTATTTTTCAAAGCTACGGTTTATAAAATGCTATTCTCATATTATATGTAGCCAAATATTGCTAGAAGCACTTTATATTTTAAAATTGGTTAGATTAGCATTACCACTTCTATCAGATATCCTTCTCCTAAACATACTTTTAGTTGGAAGAAGAAGAGATGTTTCTTTACCAGCTTTGAACTAGGCTGAAATGCGGACAGCCTTTTACATCTTCAAATGATTTGAAAACTTATAATCAGGGTTTTGTGTTGTTTTAATGGGGAATTAAAGACCTGATATTTCAACAGCCTAAAGAAAATGTGTGCAGGTGTGTGTGTTTTAATTAAATGCTCATTTTGTGGCCCTTTAAAAAAAATCCTTATTTGTGTTAAGTTTCTTCAAGTCCTACTCTGTTTATAAGGAACTAGTTCAACAGAAAGTAAAGTTTGATATATATAACTGAAGAATAGTCAGATTTACTTTTTTGATATTGTGTTTTAACCTGCTAATGAAAATGCATAATATTATACATAAACAAATGAGTAAATAAATAAAAAGTATTAACATAGTATATGTTTTTACCTAAAAGTGGATTTTACTTTTCATAAAAGCCATGATTTTGTCTATATTATCTTTTTTCCTTATGTTAGAGAATGCTTTCTTTTCATTCTTTGTTTTTATTAGTTGTTGTTAATTCTGTAGATAGATTCTCTGCATAAGAGCAAGAACATGCTTTATAAATACATCAGAAGCTCTGTAATGGTGATACTTTTCACTTTTAATATTTAAAGTTTATCTTGTAGAAGAACATGATTTTAATATTGCTGATTAAAGCAATATGTCCCTTTGCACGAATGTTATTAGAGCCTTATAATTTAAAAGAAATAGTTAAATCAAGTTTCTTTTACATCATGGGTGAAGCTGTTTTAAATGATAGGCAAAGGGAAGATGAATATGAAAAATTATGAATGAGAAAAATGAGAGATAATTGGAAGAATTTAAAACCAACTGAATTTGAAAAAAAAAACAACTTATAATGAAAGATTGAAAATATCAAATCCATAGTTGCCAATCAAATAATGACTAAAGGTTGAGACAATGGAAGAGAAAGGAAGAAAAAAGAGACAGTGCTTGATAATAATCTAGAAGCAATTAAAAATAGCAAAGAGAAACATGATTTTTGAGAATTAACCTAACATGGTAACTAAAAGTAATAAATAAAATTACATAAAGGAAAATGTATGCAGTACAAGGAGAAAACCTCCTAATCATGAAGTCTGCATTATTTCCTCAAAAAGAAGTAGTAGCTGCTTCACTCTTCAAATTTTTTGTTTCTAAAATAGACTGATCACTTGAGAGCCATCTTGATTAATGACATTATTTACATACATGTGTGTATGTACATCTTTTCCCCACATCCAACCTGGGACTTAATGTATTACTGCTTTTACAATCTAAGACTGTAGTATTAGTATATGATCAAAAATGTATTTTAAGCTAGGTTCAGCTATTGCCTATGCTAATTTTTATTCAGTAAACATAAAGAATGGGCTTTTTTTAAACTGATGACACAATTTTCAAATGCTTAATTTAAATACATCTGGAAAATAAAACAAGCCATGACCTAGAAGTTTCCATTAGCCACTAGTAGAGCAATCAAACAAAATCAACGTAGATGGTAACAAACTCGACCCCAAGGGGCACCCAAGGTGTTATTGCTCCTCAGAAGGGGACCCCCACTTGGAAAGGTCTGCTCCATTATCTACAGCTGTGAGAATTTGCCCAAACTACAAGAGTGAATATGCCTGCACTTTTTTTTTTTTTTTGAGACAGAGTCTTGCTCTGTTGCCAGGTTGGAGTGCAGTAGTGCAATCTCAGCTTGCTGCAACTTCCACCTCCCAGGTTCAAGCAATTTTCCCTGACTCAGCCTCCTGAGTAGCTACAATTACAGGCGCCTGCCACCATACCCAGCTAATTTTTGTAATTTTTAGTAGAGATGGGGTTTCGCCATGTTAGCCAGGCTGCTCTTAACCTCCTGACCTCAGGTGATCCGCCCGTCTCAGCCTCCCAAAGTGCTAGGATTACAGTTATGAGCCACTGTGCGTGGTGTGCCTATGCTATTTTATATCATGAATAGCATGACCGGGGTGTCACAGTTTCATGGTATATATTATAATACATAAGTCTACCTTTAGAGTTAAAAATTCTCTTTAAAATGGGATGGATTTGTAGACTTTGTTGTATCAATAACATGGCCATCCTGTATTGGCTCCTACAAACCTCCAGCTGCTAAAAAAATAAAAAAAGTAGTTCATGTTACAAACTTACTATGGTTAGGGATGCTGATGTTCAGTTCCCTAAGGTCCACTCTGAGGAACTGACATGGTACTTAGTATTTTAAGCTGCACTGGGGACACGTTGTCACCTAGGCTTTGAGCTGCAGCTCCTAACAGGAGACAAGACATGTGGGCTGCCTCTGTAGTAATCATAAATCGACACCTATCTTTTCATACAGAAAGGCTGAACTGACTTGCCTCCAATGTAAAATGTCCTTTGTAAATTAAAATGCCAATGAACAATTAGTTTATATTTATGAAGCACAGAGATTTTGTCTTCATAGCATGTCATTCTGAATCTAGAGTGTTTGGTATGAATTTAAATGTAACATCTAATTTAGAATACCCATAACAATGTGTATATATCCAGTTTCCAATAATTTGATATTGTTAATAGTTTACATGAAAACATAATTCAAAGAGCATATTTAAAAATCTGCTTTTGTGAGCCATCTTTCTGTCTACTATATGATTTCTGAAATAATTTTATACCAAATTACAAGATTAATTTCAGGCATATAATTCATTATATAAAGAATTGTAAGTGAATTTTTCGCCTTAGGAATTGTTTAAAATGATAGAAGAAAGGAATACTTAAAGCCATGTTAGCTGGAGAAGAGAGAAAAGAGTACAAACAATGGTTTGAATTGTAGTAGTTCCTGGGGTAGGGAATATACAGGGAAAATGGCATAAACATCAGTCACCTGCCACATACCTGTGAACACCACATTCACAAGTGCTATGGAGACACTCGCCATCCATCCCCTCAGCAGTTAACAACAGTACTCTCTTTGGCATAGTAGTTATCATTGGTGATTTGTTTCTTTTCTGTATTCTCATTTATTCTCAATCCTATATGGAAGATAAGAGAAGGTATCATACCTTCTTAAGTAATTTTCCCAAGTTAAGCTATTAATTAGATTAAATTAAATTAAACCAGAGCTAAGATTCAGGCCTTCCAACCTCTACCTTCAAACTCTTTCTCCTGAAATACACACTTTTGCAGCTGTCCCCACCCTACCTCAGTTTCTGTATACACACTCTAAAGAACCTTTAGAGAAACTAATTTTACTTTTTGTCTTCTTGTTTATTTTTCTTAAGTTATTCTAAACATCACTTCAGATTCTCTGATGTGCAGTATTCTAGAGTGCTTTTGCAACCTAGAACGTCCTAAGTGATTTTGATGCTTGCCATCTTATATTGTTTTTATTCATAGTAGTTCATAATATGTGCAGTTATATTGTGTGGTGATTAAGAATTTTGGTCCTGGAGCTAAATGGCCAGGATCCAGATACCACCTCTGCCACCTACAAGCTGAGTAGCCTCACACAGTTTTCTTCACTTCTTTATGGCTATTTCCCCATCTCTAAAGTGAGGATATTAGATTATACTTCATGATAGGATTTAAGAAGAACTGTGAACTTAATTAACTTGTAATGAGTGCTTAATAAATTATGTTAGTAATATTGGAAGTCATAGTAACTATGGTATATTTTTTAAGAGAGAGAAATAACACAAAGTAAGTGGAAACCATTCCACTCAACTACACTCAGTAACTATGGTATATTTTTTAAGAGAGAGAAATAACACAAAGTAAGTGGAAACCATTCCACTCAACTACACTCAAATGAGCATGCCCATGCACACACATATGTACACACAGAGGCTATGTGGCCTTACTCTGTAAGCCCAGAAAAAACTAAAAATTTAAATAATAATGTGTTTTTTATTATGGACTAATAGTTTATACCATTAAAATTTGAATACCATTTAAAAATTATTGTTCCTAAAAATGTTCATTTTTAATTTTTGGATTAATAATGGTTAAAGAACATTATTTTTTTTTTAATCACTAAACATCATAAATAAGTCTTAGCAACTGAGTGTACATAGTTACCACCCAATTTTTTGCATACCAGCTCTCTGCAACAGAAATCTAAAGAACAAAAAAAATGGGTGACCTCATTTATAAAGTATCTTCAATTTTAGTGTTTGTGACTTGACATATTTGTGTAAGTTATTGAAAAGGTTTTTAGAAATTGATGAATATATCAAAGTTAATACATTTTTAAATTACTGGGTTTATTTTTCTCAACTTTTAAAGTTTCTTCAGCTTACTGATTATGAAAGAAATGCTAATATGTTAGAAAATTATGAAGATATAGAAAAGTAAAGCAAATAATAAAACTTACATCCTAGAGATAACTGCTGTTAATATATCACTACCTTTTCATTCTGCCGTTTTTCTTTGTATATACATATTAATAATTTAGCAAAATTGAGATTTTTCTGATATTGCTACTTAACATTTAATAGTATATTATGTAGTCTTTCAAACATGATTTTAAAAGCTTCATAGTATACTTTATACATCTAACTGTACCTTTATTCACTTAACCATTCCATTTTGTTCTTTATTTAGGTTAT